TAGATTTCTTAACATATAGCACAAGCAGCGAACAATCTGTTTTACAGTGGGTGTGTTCTTTAATTTTTGTGTTTTTGTTTTGTTTTTTGCTTTTAATTTTAATGGCGTCTTAAAAAATCCACCATTACAATATTATTTTCGCGAACCCCCCCTGCAGACGCTGCGACCCCTAGGGGTTCGCGAACCACCGGTTGGGAATCACTGGACTAAACCATTAATGTCGACTGTGTCGAAGTATGAGAACTTGATCGATATTAAGATTTCTTCCTCCTCAACATTCGAATCAACTGTTTAGTTTGCATTTTTGTCGAGATGGGATTCTGCCAAAAAAACATCAATTCCTACTGTCAATCCCGCTTCTATTCTATCTAAACCTGCGTCTAACTCCTTCCTACTGGATACAAATACTGCTACATCATCAAACCAATCAGAATTTTATTTTGGCGAATCAATTCCAAAATGGGCAGATAATATGTGCATGCATATACTATAGCTATTAAGTATTATCAACAAGTAATATCGAGCGGTTATCCTTTTATAATTTATAGCGGATAATAATATCTCATTTCGAATCCTATAACATCCCGATCATGAACGCGAAGAAATGAAACGGTTGTAATCGGGTCACTGAGCTGATGTATTCGGTTCGGCAGCGGAAACCGTGGGGTCAAGGCCAACCACGACTATAACAATGCGATGATGATGATGGTGGTGGTGGTTGTGATGGTTACCATTCCGCGATGCAATCCGCGGCATCCAAGTAGGCGGTGAATAGGATTCACGGATTCACATTCGCGTTTTGAAAAATGTGCATTAGTATACCTATCGTTGCATGCAAGCATTCATACCTGTACATGGCTTTATTTCTGACGTGAATGAATGTTCCTGAATATCAAGAATGACTACTACAGGCAATATGTGAAGAACCAAAATTGGTTAAAAAATAGTATTAGAGTGTTAGTAAAAGTATTAACCATTACAAAACCGAAGTTTAAAATACTATGCATCATTTTTATATTTAGTAATCATGACAATGTTCGTCATCATAAGGTCGTCAGTTCTAAGACTAGTTGGACACGCACCTCCACTCTTTCATATCCTGAGCTAATCTTCGCATTTTCCTAAAACTAGAACAACCCACACCCTTAACTATTTGCGAACAGTAATCTAATCTAGGTCTACCTCTACCCCTCCTAACTCCCGTTTCTACCTCTAATATGTCTCTGACTAGAACTTTATGCCTGAGAAGGTGTCCTACCAACCTATCTCACCTATTTTTTATTGACTTCCATAGAGTCCTCTGTTCTCTTATTCTTTCTAATACCTCTTCATTTCTAACCTTTTCTACCCATGTTACCCTCATCATTCGCCTATTCGCCGCGCCCACTGTCCATGTTTCGCACCCGTACAACGCCGCACTCCAAACATACGCCTTTAACAATCTTTTTCGAATTTCTGAATTAACCGTTCGCGAGCATAGATGTGACTTCTTTTTATTAAAGACGACACGACCCTGCGCTATCCTCCGCTTTATATCCCTAATACTCCTGTACTGACTTCTCTGACTTCCTAGATATCGAAAATTAGCCACTTCTTCTAATTTTTCGTCTCATATCTTTATATTCGCTCTTTCCCTACTTTTTCTTCCCTTGCATATTAGTATTTTATTTTTACTTTCATTTATTTTCATACAGTATTGATCTGTTAGTACCGCTTCCATTTTATTTAAAGCTATTTCTAAGTCCTCCTTGCTAGATGCTAATACTGCTATACCTAGTGCGTTACGATAAAAATAAGTTAGGGAAATCTTGGTCTAGACCGTAGGGCCATAGGACCATAGGACCATAATATGTGTATATCTATTGGAAGTTTTCAATTTGCCTGTACTCTAGGTACACCTCAAAATAAAATTAACTTCCTACCCATTTCTTCGAAAGTAAACGAACTATTATTATTATTTTGATCGTTTTGTATTGTCACGATAAACCTTGAAAAAATCATGATATTTTGGTCCACTCTTACAAGTAAAAGCAACTTGTTATAGTGATTTATGGAGTGATATGAAGTAATTAAAACAGAGTATGTAATAGTACCTAAGCAGATACATAGCATCGATTCGTAATATCGTACATATTAAAAACTTTTCTGCCTTGCAGTCTGTTCGCTGTTTGTCGCTGTGCCGTATCGATCGCCGCTTGCGGCATTCGTTTATAATGTTATTTTCGTTCAAATATTAGACGTTTCTAACAATTAGTCGGAAGGACGGATAGAGAACGTAGCCATAGCAATAGAGTTCCATAAAAACACTCAACTGTGGAACCTGAAAAATTGTATTTTTTTTTTTTGATAAATCGTCTCTTGTTGACTGTAACCGACCAAACATGGTTTCGCGAACGATCGGTATGTACAGTAGTTTTTTTAGTAACTTTTATTACGTACTTGTTGGTGTTCCTAATTTGACTGATAGGTGGTACTTGCTTTAGTTTAATAAACTTTTTGTAGTGGTTAATTATTTAACAGTAATTTGAAAGTTCATTTAATTGTTATCTATCACAAATTACCTGAAATTAATGAGGAAAAATTGTTGCCGCTGTCACACCCTCACCGGGAATCGAACCCGGAAGCTTTGGCTTTACACGCCAATGCTTTGGCAACTAAGCTACGAAAGGTGACTGCAGCATCAACGACTAAATATACTTATTATGTACTAATGTGTATATATATTAATATTATTAAGAAACTTTTTATAGTAAGAGCTTTAGTTTAAGTGTTTGGTTTAAAATCAGTGACAGATAATACTTCATTTTTATCAAGCACTAAATAATAAAAAATACCAATAAGTATTGCTTTCGTATTCGTATTTTTTTTGTCTATCGCGCTTAATTAATATGTGCACACACATGCTGGTACGTGCATACATACACGTTTAACGTCTACCATAATTATACACGTATTATGTGCCTATAAATGTGTATGTCTACAACTTAAGTATGCATGCATGTGTGCGTGTTACCCCTCGTCGGCAATAACGCTTTTGTACATCGCATTCACATGCGTGCATGTACGTCCATGTGTGCAGAAAATATACACACATATCATGTTTTAGGTACTTGTGCAACACACACGTAGCTATTTACTAACACCGGATATTTTCCCGTACAATAACTGACCTCGACAACTTGTTTCTTGTGAATCTGTTGTCACTTAGGGCGTATGCCAACTCCGCATTTTTAAACGTTATTGAACTTTCTGAATTCATGTTCCTTCAATATTGAAAATAGATTTATAAAATGACATAGTAATCAAAATAATCAATAGAATCGATTAGAGATGCACCGGATAGTGGTTTTACCGGGTATCCCACCGGTCAAGGTTGATAAAGATCGTGATTATTTAAAAAAAAAATTAGAAATCGATGATTTCTTCAAAAAATCATGATTTTTTTTGCTGAATCTGTTGTCACTTAGGGCGTATGCGAACTCCGCATTGTTAAACGTTATTGAACTTTCTGTGTCCGTGTTCCTTCAAAATTGAAAATAAATTTTATAAAATTACATAGT